GGATTTTTTGTAATGTGACCAAAAGGGGAAGGAAAATATTTGTTTACAATGTAAAATGAAGTGAGAGTGAGCCAACTTTGCATTGGCCCTGAAAGCTTAAAGATAATAGGAATAATAGAGCATTGAGAAAGTGTTCACAGATAAATGAAAAGCCATCCAGAATTACTTAGGCACCTGTTAAACACCAAGAAGACTTATCAATTAAAAAATAGCCTGTAGCTATTGCCAAGGCTAAAACAGAGAAAAGCTATATTTGTATGCAACACTAACCCTTTGACTGCTAATGTATATTTCTGCTTGCTATGCCTTGTTATAGCTGTATGGGGTACCTATGTATTGCTTATAAGAGGGAAATGATACTTACATAAAGACTCTGGTAAGAATTTTGATGGTTATTAAGTGTTCAGTGTCACCAGACAGGGTCTGAGGAGGTATTTTATCTTCAGAATAATTTTCCAGGTTCACTGACTTCTGTCTTGGAAAAGCCTGTTCAGGATGTGTCAGTAAGAGGCAAAAAGGGATTTATTAGCCAGACATTTAAAGGTACACACTCAAAGAAATAGAGTGCAGGCCCTCAGGAGAGAGAGAGAGGCACATTATTTTCTGGAACTGGGATACTTATGGGAGTGGAAACCTCAGGAAAAGGTGGCCCACCCCCAGGAAGGTACTGGCCTATTTTATAGGTATAATCCCAGTTTTTTAAAAAGAGGTATTATTTAAGCATTCTTTGAATTGCAATCTGTTCCTTTATCTTAGGATCAGGTTCCTGCTCTTTACTATCTCAGTTAAGCCAATTTGCGCACTTTTGGTATTCTAAAGGAATTCTGGGCGTGACAGATCTGGAAGTATATAAGCCAAAATTTAACCAAAAGGATGCTGATGTGGGTTGCCTTGGGTAATTTCAACTAGCTTCTGAAAGTTGTAGTTTTTTTTAAGTACAATTTTTAATTATGATTTTCCTTGTCTCCTTTTGACCTAATTTATTTCTTTTATCCTACCTCAACTAGCACTTTAGAAGTATTCAATAAACAGAAGCAAGTATATTTGCTTTCTCTTTTTTCATTATCTTCAAAGAATCTGGATAATCAAATTGTGGTAATTCACTTTTCTACATGTCTCTTAATCCCCCTCAGTTCTCTCCATACCCCAACATCATCAGCCATTTGGATTGTCAGGTTTCTAGAGGATCAGTCACTAAGTCCATTCTACAGTGATTTCTAAAAATGATTTTGTGCTTCATACTGTCCAGTTTACCACTACTCATGAAAAGTATTTCATATTCTTCAAGATTAAGTTGTATATCTCAGTGTTTGGGGGGAATTAAGCATCTGATCTGACCTTTCTTCCTCCAACCTAATTCCCTTTGGTAGATTTTATCAGACACCCTTACACTTTTTCCATTGTCTTCATCAGCCTACTCTTAAGTGCTTCTTGTTCTGTAGAAATCCCCACACTTAAAATTTGTTTTTAGTCAGCATTATTTATCATCAGTGAGCTTTAAGAAACCAAAACTGATGTCTGCCTCACTCCTACAACAATCTGAGGTCTTAGTCCAGTGCTTGTCTAGCAGATAGTAGCTGCCAGAGAAACACCATCAAACACTTAGTTCCCAGTAAAGCATGGGAGGATGGTACATGGCAATGACAGCTCCTGTAGGCAGTGTTAAAATTACCACAAGAGCATAAAAGCCAGGATGCCTTTCGCAAAGGTATTTCAAAACTTTAAACAGACTTCTAAGAGTGTGAGAAGTTTATCCCTTTTTAGGAGATGCTCTTAACTTTTAAACTGTTTTGGGAGGTTCCTCCAGCTGTGGTCCCTCCCTCTGCTCCCTGCCTTTGTTCATGTTGCTTGCTCTACCTAGAGCACAGCATACCCACTCTCAACTCCCTGCATTCCCCTGGCTGGCAATTTTTAAAGACTTAAATATGTTGCACGGTCCTCTGTGATTACTCCTCTGCCGTGCTCACTCTGCTCTCTTAGAATTCCCTGTCCCTTGCAGAAAGTGGACAAGTAGATGCTCAGTTTTTGTTTGGTAAACGAATGAATCCAGGATTGATGAATACTGAGTTTCTTGTGGAGTGATTTGTGCTGTAATGGATTAAAGTAGGAGAAATGCACAGCAGGGACTTACTAGGTGAGGGCTATTTATTAGGCTCAGTAATCAAGCAACAGGTTTCAAACACAGTCACTGTGGTTCTTCCTACATAGTATGGCACCTTATTGGTTTTATAGCACAAATAATTCCTTTACCCAGCCCCCTGGTGCATGTTAAATTATATTATTTTTTGTCAGTATTACTCAAATACTGACTCAAAAGGCAAGAACAAGAGCAAAACCATAGCATAAATTAAAGCTAGAAGATAGTTTAGATGGTGTCAGAAAACCAGGAAAGAATTATCTGTCTTTTTTGACCTAACTTTCAATGAGAAGGAGCTTAGTTTACAGAGATATTCAGCACTAAAAAACCAGAAAGTAATCTGTACTCCTTGAAGAAAAAATACACTGGCCTGGATTTTATAACACAAATTATGAGCCATTTATGAGCAACTTGTGCACTTCTGGGGCAAACAAAATGCCATTGTGGATGGAATTCAAACCCTGTTCCTGAGGCAAGGGATGATGCCACAGTAAGTTACCCTGACACCTACAGGGACAGGTGCTTGGGGGTTGGTCCTGTTGTACAGGCTGTACACACAAGGCAGCTCCACTAATGGAGACAGGAATTGCTTCACTGAACTTCCAGCATCTGGTCTTCTCTGGAGAGCCAGAAGGTGTCATCCCACCTGCTCAAAACCATGCAGATTCTCCTAGCAGCCATGCTGCCATCACAGACATGAGGCTAGGTCCCCTGAACCCTAGCCACACTGTAGGGAACAGTATCAACTGAGTAAGGACTGGATACCCCTGCCCTAACCATGGCCTCTCAAGGGCTTCAGCAGCTTCCAGAAGCAGTGCTGCCCCACTGGCAAGAGTACATTGATGCCCTTGCACAAAATGCATCACGTTGCTTCCTTCCATCAGCACAAATAACTTTAATTAACTGCATCAGTGACTTACTGAGGTTTAAAGTAGATTTTCATATCCCTCAAATACTGACTCAAGAGGATTGTAATTATTACAAAGAAAGCAGAACTGCAGGATAGACAGCAAGAAAGAAAAATGTAGGGCTGGGGATTTAGCTCACTGGTTCTGCCACCTGCCTCGCAAGCACAAGGTCCTGAGTTCAATCCCCGGTACCAAAAAACAAAGAAAAGAAAAGAAAAATGTAAGGATGGCGTAAGTTACAGTGAAACAAGATTGTGAACTGTACACCTAGTGTATTGTGTATCTGTGCTGCTGAAGTGAGGACTGATGGGATTTGAATCCTTGGAACCCAAGAGCTATTTTTATGAAAACAGTTTAATCCTTAAGACTCCCATGTACCATCTCACTTCTCACTTTCCAACTCATTCATTTTTGGGAGGTGGGGGTGGGTGGTGAGACAGGGTCTCACTGTGTAGTGCAGGCTGGCCTTGAGCTCATTATGTAGCCCAGGTTGGCCTTGAACTCCCAACAATTCTCCTGCCTCAGCCTCCTGAGTGCTGGGATTACAGGCGTGTATCACCATGCTCAGCTTTCCATTTTATTCTTAATAGATCAAGTGAATCTAGATCAAGTTGCATGGATGTATAAAACATCAATTGCTTTAGTTTTCTAAATCAAACAAAATTTTCTTCTTAGCTCCACTTCTCCAAGAATGATAAAGCCATAGTAGTGTTTTGAAAAATTTTTTGGAAGATTCCCTGTCCAGGAGCTTCCAAGAGCGCCAAGACACTATAAAGTCAGGGAATCTGGGGAGATCTTAGAGCTCCAGTCTGTCCCAGCTGGCATGGTCAGGAAAAGGCAGGAAGTGTCTATTCTGAGCTTGTCCACTCCCAAGGAAGGGCAGTTAGTGTTCAGCCTTCCCAGCCTCTACATGCCCTCTACATGCCCAGGCCTTCAGGCTTATCCTTGGCCCAGATAGTAGTGAGATCAAGGCACCTCTTGAGTCTTCTATTCAATGCATTATTAATGGAATCTTAGTGATTAATACCAAAGGCTGTTTTTTATTTTCTGTTTATTTCTTATAATAGCATCCTAGCTTGTTCCATGGATGTGATATTTCTCTTTATCTCTCTGAAATGCTCATTATCATTTAGATTTTATTTTGTGTTACTGCTGTGTCCTCTGAGTTCCTCTTCTATAAATGCTTATTTTTGTCTATCTTTCACTGGCTCTCATCAAATGTCTGGTGATCTTGATTGATTGTCTGTGAGCCTTACGCCCTAAGGAGCTGAATGGAAAATTTGTGAGTCAGGGTGAGCCATACCACAAGTAATTGTGCAAAACTACAAAACTGGCTGCTTTACTGTAGTGCCCAAATGTTAGTATCTGTAAGTGTTCTCTCCTTCTGACATTGGCCCCAACAAGGAATCCTACTGGCTCCTATCCAAGAAATAATTTTGGCATCCAGAAATCAATGAACTGAATGGGGGAAAGGTGGCCTGGCTTATCAAATCTTCCTGTTTGCATTACAGCTTTGCACTCCTGCCTTAACCTTCACCTGGGCTCTTTTTCCCTGTGCTTGGGATTGAACCCACCACCTAAAGCATGCTAGGTGATTGATTGCTGCACCTCTGAGATACACTTCCAGTTGAGATTATGTGTTTCATCTCCCTGGTTTGACTCTGGATGGCAAGCAAATATTTGCTTATTCCAGGGTGGCCCCAAACTTGTGACCTTCCTGTTTTAGCCTCCCAAATAGCTGAGTGCAGGCATGTACCACCACGCACAGTTTCAGAGCATCACTCTTCATACATGAAAAAAAGAAAGAAAGAAAGAAAGAAAGAAAGAAAGAAAGAAAGAAAGAAAGAAAGAAAGAAAGAACAAAAATATCTTTTTGAATTGACAAATCAACAAGTGCTTCTTGCTTTGCACACAGCTCAGGAGGTGGGGCCTGCAAACCCTCAGAGGAAAAAAAGAAGTTAAAACACTTTAAATACTGTGGCTGACTCACCCTGCTCAGCCCAGCAGTCTGGCTCCCCAGTTGACATGAAGGCTCTCCTTATTCTGGGGCTTCTCCTCCTTTCTGTCACCATCCATGGGAAGATCTTTGAAAGGTGTGAGTTGGCCAGAACTCTGAAGAGATTTGGACTGGATGGCTACCGGGGAATCAGCCTGCCAAACTGTAAGTCCCCTCTCCTCCTTAGCTCCAGACAGTTATCCACACGTGGAACAGATACCTGGAGAAAATGAATGGTCAGAAGGGCTTTGAGTGAATACCTGCACCTATTTCTTTGTGAGTTTGAATACTTAACAGTGGTGAAAATATCAGTTGGGTCCTTTAGAATCAGAGATTCCAGGTGAAGGACTGAAGACATGAGAGGGAAACATCCCACACATTCTACTTCACACAGGACTTGCTGTCCTTCCCCGGAGTGACTAGATTGGTCTGTTACTGGACTCAAAGGCCCAAGTAGACTGAGTAAACGATATGTTGGAGGGCCTGTTTGGAACATGAGCTCTGAGAGCATGAAGTGGCATAGTATTTTTTTCTTAAATTTCCCAGCGGTGACAGAACTTTCAGGGCAAAACTTTTCTTTCTTTCTTTTTCTTTTTTCTTTTCTTTTTTTTTTTTTTGGTACCGGGGTACCAGGGATCAAATTCGGGTCCTTCCGCTTGCAAGGCAGGCAGCGTAACCACTGGGCTAAATCCCTGGGCCCCTTATTCTTTCTTTTGAGACAGGGTCTCACTATGTAATTCAGGCTGGCCTTGAACTACTATGTAGCCCAGGCTGGCCTTGAACTCATGGCAACCCTCCTGCCTCAGCATCCTGATTGCTGGAATTATAGGCATGTGGCACCACACTGGGCTCCGGAGCAAATTTTTTTTTTTTGTACCTGGGATCAAACTCAGGACCTTTTGGTTCCAAGGCAGATGTGATGCCACTGAGCTAAATACCAGGCCTCCAGAGCAAAATTTTTAAAAATTACATTGAACTCTCAAAAATTGGCAATAGGAAACTGTTTCCCCAGTCACTGTTTATATAAGGAGCTCTGAAATTTAGCATGAAATGCTTTATTACTCTTACTCACTCTAGGTTGACTTTATATTATTATTTTTCATTTTCTTCTCCACAATTCAGGTTGTATCACAAGGAAATGTTACTTTACAGCTTACTCTATATTTGTCAATGTTATCACTGTACTTTTCAGATTAGAGTCAAGCATTTTCCATCAGTGACTATTTTTGAATGAATAAGTGAGTAAATAGATGAATATATGGATAAAATCACAGAATAACTTTTTCTATTCTCTAGTCTTTGTTTTCAAGATTCTAACTTGACATCCAAATTCACCTTTAGATATTATAATTTCTTTCTCTCAGAAAAATCTTTATTTTTTGTAATAAAATCATTTTTCAGTGGGCATTATGGTGCATGCTTGTAATCCCAGCTACTAACAGTAGGATAGCAAATTCAAAGCCAGCCTGGGCAGCTTAGAAAAACCTTGTCATAAAATAAAAAGGACTAGGGGTATAGCTCAGCATTAGGGTCCTTATATAGGATAGGTGGAGTCAGCATTGAAAAGAGGGCATTTTTCCATCACCATATGTGCCTGTTATAAATTTACTAAATCTATCAACAACTCTACTGATTTTTTCTATTCTAAGCTGAATATTGCTTGAGCAATGAGATCAGAGGAAGAATTAAAGTAATGGAGGAAACAGCTATTTTAATATTTTTTAAAGTACTTCATCTTGCTTTGTTAGTGTTACACACTGTTGTATTGCAGAACAATACCCTTAGAGGCCCTTTAAAACTAAGGTGTTGGGTGGGGCAAGGGGTTCGGTACCCCCAGTCCTGGGTTCTTGGGAGCCTGAAGCAGGGGGATCATTTCATCCCAGGAGTGCTGTTCAGCAAGAACTAAATAAATAAAGTGTTAAATAGTATATGAATTAAATATGTCCTTTTACATCACTAATAAATTAGAAGTAATTAAATAGGACTGATGTGGGGATACAGTATACATCATTTAGTGTTGCTGTTTATTACTAAAAGTAATTCCTTTTCAGGGGTGTGTTTGGCCAGATGGGAGAGTAGTTATAACACAAAAGCTACAAACTACAATCCTGGAGACAGAAGCACTGATTATGGGATATTTCAGATCAATAGCCACTACTGGTGCAATGATGGCAAAACCCCAGGAGCTGTTAATGCCTGCGGTATATCCTGCAATGGTAAGAAAAGGTGGTACTGCAGTGAAGGGCAGGACCCATCTGGTTATAGAGACTAAAAGTCAGTGCCAGCTACTGAGAGCAGGCACAGTGCCTGAATATCACTGGGGAGTTCCTAGATTCCAACCTCAGCAGGGCAAAAAAATTAAAATAAAAAAAAATAAAAATAAGAAGCTAATATAAAATATTGGTGACTTTAAATATACAAAAGATTCTGAAATTGCTTATTAATTTAATCTAAATTACCTTATTGATGCTTTGTCTAGAACAATGCCATTCCTCTTATTAGGGGTAGTTTAGGGATAATTTGGTTGTCTGATCCTTTTTTTTTTTTTTTTAATGCCGGGGATCGAACTCAGGACCTTGTACTTGTGAGGCAGGCATGTCGCCACTGAGCTAAATCCCCAGCTCTGTCTGATCCTTTTCTGATTATTTTACCTTTTATTATAAGCTTTTCTAAATATATAAAAAATTAGAATAAACAGCAATATACCTGTATACTTAATAGCTATTAACATTTTCCCACACTATTTTCTATATATATAAAGTGTACATATGTGTTTATGCACTACGCATGTATTTTTTTGAGAGATTTTAAAGTGAGTTAGAAACATTCTGATATTTTATTTCTAAATTATTTAGTTTGCAGCTCCAAAAATACAGGTCCAAAGTAATAATTATCACAATAAATTAACTTACAAATTTATATATTTGGAATGAAACTCACTTTCTCCCTAGAAAAAGAACACATACTTTATTACATGCTGATGCCATGGGAGTATTAGACTCCTGAACTCATATTAAAGTTAAAATAATGTTGAATTGTCAGTGCAGGAAATAGTGCATAGATCCTGCAAATTGATGTTGTTGAATTTTTAAATGTTAAAATTCTCTATCTACAAAAAAGATAATATTTAGAATAGTCTTTTTTTAATCTACTTAATTTACTTTTTAAATATTTTCTATCATACAATAATCCATGGTCATTGAATAAAAATTAGAAAAATATAAGCAGAAAACAATAACACCCATAATCTTAGTTCCAAGAGACATAACCATTGGGAACTTTTGGTGCACCTTCTTCCGGAATGTAAATGAGTCAAGAGCACATCTTGCCAAACACAAACATGTAACCAAGTTGTGTTTCTGCAGAAATTAAATTTTATTATATACACTGCTTTACAGTTTATCATACAAAATTATTTTCCATATTGACAAATACAACTTCATATTATTAAAGAGTGAACAGAATTCCGCTATGTGAATATTCTATAATTTACTGTTCCAATTCAATTAAGTACTTAAATTTTTCCATTTTTTTCCCCTTTTATAAATTGCTATGGAAACCTTTAGACATTCAAGTTTGGGTACATTTCTTATGTTTCCTTTGGATACACTCTTAACGTAGAATTGGTGAGTAAAATGTTATTAGGCATATTTTTTAACAGTGTGGTGCACAAAGATGACCTCCCATCATATTAGTTAATAATTCCAGACCTTCAAATGACTTTAGTAAATGAGAAAAAGAGTTCTTTAGTTCATGTCAAATGAGATAGAATGAATACTTACTTAGCCTCAATTGGCTAAATCTAAATTTAAAATGAAATTCCTATGACAGTCATTTTCATTCCTCATCTCTCTTTCAGCCTTGTTGCAAGATGACATCACTGAAGCAGTGGCTTGTGCAAAGAGGGTTGTGAGGGACCCACAAGGCATTAGAGCATGGTATGTTTAAGTGTTAATGGGGGAAAGCTGCTCATGTCACCCCTGACATACACAGTGAGATTAAAACTTCTAAAGACCAAAGCGTCTCTCTGAGAACTGAATTGCAGTTTTTGGCTTATGTGAAACAAAGCATTACTTTTGTCCACCAAGAACAGTCTACTTTTAACTGATTCGGTACCTTTCTCTTTTACTCCTCCACTCAATTTTAGGGTTTTCTGGAGTTTTTAAGATTCTCCACACTCCAATAGTTCCTTTTTATATCATGAAAGTATTTGTAAAATAAGTAAATATACAATGTAACATTTACTGAATACACCTAAATATTTGTGTCCAGTATTCTGTGGCCTACTGAGGCTTTGGGGAGAAGCAAAGTATTTGAGTGCATTATCTACTCAAATAGCAACACCTCAGCCTGGCGATAGCCTACCTTTCACTTATCGATAAAATATCTTGTTGCCCTAATGGATTTGATTTATGTGTATTACAATGAAGACATGTTTCAGTCTCTTTTCTGTGTGCTTCACTTTCTCTACAGGGTGGCATGGAGACATCGGTGTCAAAACCAAGATCTCACTCAGTATGTGCGTGGCTGTGGAGTGTAACTGCAGACTTTTCCTTCTTGAGCTCACGTTGCTCCTTTTTGACATGAAGGGAGTGATACATAAGCTTAAAGTCACAGCACCATTGTTTCCCTTCAAATAAACAGAATCTTTACAGTAGCAAGAGCAAAATATATCCTTTCTTCTCAGAGCCTTAATGTTCATGAATGTGTTTATTATTTGATATTAACCTACATTTTCAGTTTGCTAATAGAACTAACACTAGTGAAAATTTATCTAACCCCTTGATTCTCAAATACATCTGCGCTACATTCAGTCCTTCATCAAGAAAAAACACAGACTTAGTGTTGAATGACAGAAGTAGTCCCCAACAGAAGATCAAAAAAAATGACAAAAGGCTATCTTAGAATGAATGAACTTTGGCAGAATTTCAGCTTTGCAAGCATCTGATGCCTTCACCTGTTCTGTCATCTCCTAAAGGAGTAAAAATAAATATTATGTTGGACCATATCAATCTTTAAAGTAGCAGATGTCAAATGGGTCAGAATACAGACTGAGTGAATGAAGAACCCTTTTGTTTACATGTGTGTGATGCTGGGGATCAGACACAGGGCCTCGCCCATACTGAACAAGCCCTTTAGCACTGAGCCACAAATTCAGTCCTATGAAAACAAGCAGACCAAAGTGTGACCTTGAGTTCAAATATTTTCTTAGAAATGTTGTGTTTGTACAGCTTTAACATTGGATTCACAATTTGTCAATCTATTTTAAAGCTTGAAAGAACACTTCTTGCTGATCATGAAGGCATTCAGGAGAAATTAAATGAGTTTTACTATTCCCCATTTTATTAACTGAAACACATACATTTTAACTAAATCTGAGACAGATGGACTTTCATTACTAATTAACCATAGGGTTACTGTGCATTTTTTAAAAATGCAAATATTATCATTAAAAAGTTTGCAATACATACTTTGTCTATCTCTGTATTTCAGGAGAAAAAGTTATATGTATATTTCAAAAACAAAAGGTCCTGGCATTGTTAACATCTTTTTTTTTTTTTCCTTTTTTCCTTAAT